GAGGCTAATACAATTACTCCAGTTTTCCATTGTAGACAACTGCCAGTATAAGATTCTGAAGGTATGATAACCTTAGATGAAAAAAAATCAGTTTCTCAATATTGTGATTTACTGCTCTAAAATATATTCTTTTAAAATGTCTGGGTAAAAAAATTAAAACCCTTTTCTCGTTTAAGCACAATATATTTTATTTTGAGAAACATCTAAAACTTATTTGGAATTGTGAAGATGGTAATAGTAAAGAATGAAAATGAATGACTGACTTCCGCTGTCTTTATTAGCTTCAAAAACACTGACTTTTGTAATTTTAAAATTACATCTTTGGATATAATTTCTGCTGAAGATACTGTTGTCCTTAAAAAAAATAAAAATCACACACACTATAGATTAGAAATGAAAATGCATTTGTGTAATATAAACACACACACACACACACACACATATATATACATACATACATATATATATATATATATATATATATATATATATATATATATATATATATATATATATATATATAAATCAATACATTAGGTTTAGGTTTACATGGGTATGCAAATAAGTTAAGAGGCATTTAGTCAATTACTGAATGATAAGTTAATTTACTATTTTAAATAACTGTGTTGTAGTTTTAGAAGAGCATACATGCATTGGATGTATGGCTGAATCACGGGAAATGGCAATATGTGTGGCACATAATAAATGAGTTTAAGTTTCTGTGGTGTCCGAACGCCATCTGCTGGTTGATGTCGGTAGCGGAAGAGTGTTGCTTTCAGTTTCACTTTCATTAGGAAATAAACAGCGTTAAAGGGTTGTGCTAATAGTTTAGATATTTCCATCAAGCGTAATACCCTGTAAGCATCATTTATGTGATATGGTATGATAAATGTAACGACTTTTCTGTTAAAGAATAGTTTTGCTTTGTATAACTGCTTATTCATAATGGCTGAATTCATCAGGATTACATTATTATGTAATAATTATCACATTATTGTTATAATTATGTGATTATTTGTGTTTCACTGTTTTACAAATAAAGAATAAAGACAAAAAGAGACAGTTTTGCAACCAAACTCTTCAAATTAAATGAATTACAGTAAAACATCTTAGTTACTTAATTGTTCATTCAACTGGCTTTTCATTGAAAATACTTGATAATATGATCAGAAATAGAGAAATTAATCAAAATAATGGAATAACAGCCACCTTTATTTTAAGTAGAAAATTTTGATTCTCAGTTTATCTACAAACAGTAAAGCTTGGCCATGAATTAAATTGACTTAAAGCTCTTTAGTAGTTCTATAGTGAACTACTGAATGCATCTTTTTAAGTTCACACCTGTCACAGTCAGACCAGGTACTCCTGCCTTCTTGATTCCTCGTCTGGTCATCATCCTGTTTATCTTCCTTTGTTTCTGTTCCAAGACCTGCAGACAAGAACCCAATAACCCACCACTGAGCCCACAATAATCCAATAACCCACCACTGCAAACGAAAGAAATAAAGGCTATCTCTGTAAAACAGCATGGTGGTCTTGCACCCATTTGTTTAAGACTTTGAAACACATGAAAAATATGGTGTATACATTAAATACTTAGAAGATTGTGTAAAAGGAAGTGTATTTTCGCTCATGCCATTGGCTAGATTACCGTTGGCTAGGAGAGTTTCACTGTTACACTCTCATGTCAATTTTGCTTTTTCAGGAGTCCAGTCAGAAGCGTTCACATTAAAAATCAAAGAGGAACATGACTGACAAGTTGCTAAAGTGGTACATGTTGGTGTTTTGATTGAAGAGTTGGAAAAAAGTAGACCAGTTGAATCATATCCAACATGCTATTGTGTTTTGGTCTGTGTGTGCAGTCATTTTTAAATTGACCTTTATATTTTTGTTTGCACAGCTTATATGCACCTTTGTATTTTGGACTACTTTGAATATTGTTTACAAATAAAAGGTCACACCTTGTTGCATAATATAACCATAAAATATGTTAGCAAAAATGTCATCTAAAAGGTTTATGGCTCTTCTGAAATATACTTTATTAAAATGAATAAAAAGTATATATATTCAAATTAATACAACATATAGAGGGCCCTATTCCATTGTAATTATTTGAGGTATCAAATTGGTATTGTTGAAGAACTATGCTTACTAATGGTAATTTAAAATCCATGCTTATTTGCATCTAAGGATCTAAAGCAGGTCCTTGTCATTCAAAATGATTTAGGCTATCATGTTGGTATTGGCATGAACAGCTATACCTGTTAACAGGTTTCTAATAAATGTAAGAAGGTCCTATTCAGTTAAGGGTCTGGCCTATCAGGCAGCTATTATTAAAGGTAATTGCATATAATGATGAGCATTTGTTTAAATGAATATGTGACACAAATATTACTTTCATTGTTGCAAATAAGTTACGAAATTAAGTGCAGATTTTGTTTTATGAGATGTCCACCAGACCACCACTGCAATTCCATCATGATGAAAAAGAAGTCTGAGAAATGCTGTAATTGGTGTAGGTGGAGGTTAATCAAAATAAAAATAATGCATTGAAAGTGGACTCTTTTTATTGACGTACCCTGTATAAACTGCCTATACAATAGATTTTACTTGTGATATAATTATTTTCTATTTATAAACCTATAGCTGCATGACAGATTTGATTGTGGATAACACCAAAAAGGTAACGCCAAACTTAATTTACAGTATTTTATTTCTGAACAAAACAAAAATACTGTTACAATCATTGCTGCTGCATGAAAGAACGAATGCAGAGCAGTTCTTGCATCTGAGCTAATATAAGATTGTCTTTCAACATCTTCATCAAAACCACCGGTGGGCCACTTTGGCACAAATCAATTCACACAGGTTATGCAGTGTACAGCATGTCTCAACCACATCAACAACAGCATTTACATTGCAGTCATTTCTTTTACTGAGACATTTCCACCTGCCTTTCAACCTCCCAAATGCAACCACACAGTGGGCTCGACTTGTTCTTGTGTTGCACAGTTCTTGAGCCTCTGGATATGGTTTTAACAACCATTTCTGCAGTGGATATGCAGAGTCAACAAGAATGAAGCAGCCTAAATCATGTATTTTACTCCAGGAAAAGCCGTGGTGGATGTCGCCTAAGTCCAAAAGCATGTTTTTTTTCTGGACACTGGCGTCATGTTCTCTACCAGGCTGTACAACATTAAGGTCCCACTAAAGGCCTTTACCATCCACAACTGCATGTAAAATGATGGTATGCCAGCCTTTTCTATTGTGAAAATCAGACTGGTATTGTGGAGGTTTCAGTGTAGGAATGTGTGAACCGTCAATAGCATCAACACATTGTGGAATTTCACATTTTTCATCAAAATAATCAGTCGTGTTAATGAGTTTGGGTTTGAGCACTGCTATCACAGCCTTACACAAACAGCCCACACATTAGATTTTTGCATTATATTGGTGTAGTAGTGATGTAGTATCTAAAAGATGATGCAAAAAACAGGAACAATTACTTAATATGAATACATACACAAACAAAAATCTATCTGAAAACCATCAAATTATTTATACATGTAACATCTGAAGAAAATCATGAATACTGTAAGTCATAATTATGTAAAGAAGTTTTGTTTGGAAGCAACTTAATTAATCCACAATTTATGTATTATCCTGACATCTTCTTCCACTCTGTGTGCTATTAACAGTCAATTTTATAGCTAAAATTACTACCATGACAAATATTACTATGTTCATCCACTATTACACACAATAGTGAATGAACTTAATTACTCTATTACATTCTAAGGATGTGATGCCACGAGCTATTGGCCCGACAGTGGAAACGCGACATGATTTGGCGTCAGTGCTTAAGGTCCCGGGCTATTGGCTACAGTGAAAGCTACAAGAACATTTTGAGTCAAAAAGAAATGTTAAAACAACATTTGTTTTATTCCTCCTCAGGGACTGCGTTTACTATTTACTGATGTATTGCCAGTAGAGTCAGCAGCTAAACATGAAAAAGTCATATTGTCAAGGTCAGGTCAAAGGACACATGCAGTCTCTCACAATTTTTTTGCACCTCAACAACATAGAGGTAAAGTTGGTTTTATATTCACACATTCGGGCTTTCAACTTCATTTCATTTTCTTGTCAGCTTAGTTCCTTTATTAATCTGTGGTCGCCACAGCAGAATGAACCGCCAACTTATCCAGCAAGTTTTTACGCAGCGGATGCCCTTCCAGCCGCAACCCATCTCTGGGAAACATCCACACAAACATTTACACTCTCATACACTACGGACAATTTAGCCTACCCAATTCACCTGTACCGCATGTCTTTGGACTGTGGGGGAAACCGGAGCACCCGGAGGAAACCCACGCCAAGGCAGGGAGAACATGCAAACTCCTCACAGAAACGTCAACTGAGCCAAGATTCGAACCAGCGACCTTCTTGCTGTGAGGCGACAGCACTACCTACTGCCCCACTGCCTCGCCCTAGCCTTCAACTTAATAAATATAATTTCATGAAAGTATTATTTGCAAAATAGCAAAATCATATTAGCAGCCTGACTATCAAAGTACAACATTGTTCACATTCAAATAAACAGTGTTAATGTTGTTTTCAAGTCACACTTGTATGCTAATTCCGATTAAATATTTCAAAGTAACATGGAAAATATACAGTTTAACAAATGTGCGACTATAAAACCTCTAAAACTTTACCTCTGTCTCAACAAAAGCGTCTCAGAGGGAAAAAAAACTTATATCTTTAAAAGGTTAAACAAAAACTGCTCCGAGGAGGAAAAAACTAATAGACGCTGATTGGGGAACGAAAAACTCCAGAAGAAAAACTCCAGCAACACAAACTCTCCGTATAGAGGGAACAGTCATAAAAGACTAAAGTTGATATTAAAAGGAAAAAGGCTTCTCGGTAGAGGGATTGACGGTCTTCTCACAGGGGTGTAATAACAATAATACCCGACAGAGGGCGATACCGCAGAACGACACACCTGCGAGGAAGAGTGAGCGCTGGGAAGGGGAGTGCTGGAAGATGCTGGCGAGCAGCAGGACAAAAATCTAAACGGAACATGATCAAGGACACCAAAACTGACTGGAAATCAGACTAGAGGGATGAAGGAGAACACGTGAGTGACATTAGCTTAATATAGTAATAGAACGAAAACAATAGAATTAGCGGGGATGTAGAAAGTAAACAAAAGACATGTGGCGAGTGATCTAAACAAAACTTGCAAAGATGAATTGACGAACACTACAACAAGATTGAGTTAACGTTGGTTTTATATTCACACATTAAGACATTCTCACTATTAATAGTTTCAAAAAGTATTATTTGCAAACTCTAAATAGGGAAATCATATTATCAGCAAATGACTATCAAAGTAGAACATTTATCACATTCAATTAAATAGTGCTAATGTTGTTTTGAAGTCATTCATACTTTCAGACTGATTATTTAAAGTACCATGGCAAATAATATAGGGAGCATGTCACTGAACGAATGTTAGAATAAAACCAACTTTACCTCAATAACAACAAGTAGCCCAAATGATCAAATAGAGGTAAAGTCTAAACTCTACTCTAAATAGCGAAATCATATTAGCAGCCAATGACTATCAAAGAAAACATTGTTCACAGTCAAATAAACAGTGTTAATGTTGTTTTCAAGTCACACTTGAATGCCAATTCCGATCGAATATTCAAAGTAACATGATAAACAATATATAGACTTCTAAATGAACGAATATGCGAATATAAAACCAACTTTACCTCTATAATGATCAAACCATATTGGCCCAACACACACATTTAACTAATGTGGAAGATCGAGGCAAAGTCATATTTACAGGTTTCTTGGCATTCGAAAGTGTTCTTGGAGCTTTGTATACTTATAGTTGAACAATTGAGGTAAAGTTGGTTTTATATTCTCACATTCATTCAGTGACATGCTCCCTATATTAATTGCCATGATACTTTGAATATTTAGTCTCAAATTGCATGTAAGACAGACGTCAAAACAACATTTGCACTATTTAATTGACTGTGAACAATATTCTACTTTGATGGTCATTTACTGATAAAATGATTCGGAGTTTGCAAATAATACTTTTTGAAGCTATATTGTTAAGGAGAATGTCTGAATGTGTGAATATAAAACCAACTTTACCTCTACAGTTGAACCTCGCGTGGACAGCAGTAATGAAGGCCAAAAAGGCTTTAATGAGTTTTTTTTTTTTTTTTTTCCAAATAATGGTAACAATTTAACAAAGCAAACTCTTACACCTTGATCAACTGACAGGCTTTATAGAGGTAAAGTTGGTTTTATGTACACATTCAGACTTTCTCCTTAATATAATTTCATAAAAGTATTATTTGCAAACTCTAAATAGCGAAATCATATAAGCAGCCAATGACTATCAAAGTACAACATTGTTCACAGTCAAATAAACAGTGCTAATGTTGTTTTCAAGTCACACTTGCATGCTAATTCTGATCGAATATTCAAAGTAACATAGTAAACAATATAGAGACTTCTAAATGAACGAATGTGCGAATATAAAACCAACTTTACCTCTATCCCTCTCGGCTGGAAACTCTTGTTTGTGTAGGTAACAGTCCGTAGCTTTACTTCTCTATTTTAGTTTGACTTTATATATAACAGATAAATATATAATTGACTAAATCCTGTTCTCAATAATATATCTAAATCTGTGTTTGCCATTAGTGGTGTAGTTTAGAGGGATATATAGTTGATAGAGTTTATATTTATAGGCTTTAGGAAGAACCTGAGAACTAAAAAAAATTAAAAACAAAACTTCAGAGTTCATCACTGAGAGAGCTGGAGAAGATCTAGAGCCTCTAGACCTAATCTTTTACTTTTACAAATATTTGTACTCTCCTATGTTTTTTTAATTTAGATTGATTCATTTTGTAGAGAATCGTTCCTGTTAGCTGCACAGCCACTAGCCGCGTTTTCACTATCGGGCCTAAAGCGAGCGAGCCAAGGCCAGTGGCGTTTCCACTGTCACTTCCGGGGCCTAATCGGGCCAAAGCGGGGCTTTCTTGGGGCCAGCGGCTGGCCTTTTTCGGATACCTTGGGCCAAGGAGAGCCAGCTGGGGCTTCGGGGCGGAGTGACAGGAGAGGTGGGCAGTTTTCTGATCGCACATGAGTACATGCGCCAAACAAATAAAGAAATAAGGGAAAGAAAACATCTGGTCTTATAATCTGGGGTCTTTTTGCGTATGATCACCCTTATGTTTCCTTTTTAAATGTAAGGCTGCTGCATAAAATAATAAAGTAGCTTTAATTTATAGTGACGTTCTTTGCTGCATCCTCCTTTATGTTTCAATAATGCATCATAATCTTTACACCATAGTAAAGACATAGGAGACAGTAAAAGTTTTCAAGAGTTTTTGTCTAGTTTAAAATGTTTGTTTGTGCGCGTTTAGATGGCTGTATGTGTGTGTGAGACCGGGCAAGAGCACTCCTTCACAGCTCTGTTATGCCGCGAGAGGCTTTTTTCTTTATTTATTTTGAAGATAATACACAATATAAATATATAAGTGTTTGCGTGACGCGCTGTGAGCTACTAGCCCGACAGTGGAAACGCGACATGATTTCGGTCTCATTTCTCAACCTCCCAAGCTATTGGCCCGGCACGGCCCGATTAAAGCCCTGGCTCGCACTGGCCCGATAGTTGAAATGTGGCTATTGTCACCCGGAAGAAGGTGGCTGGGCTTCTGTTTTGAGCTGTGTCCTGATTGGCCATTGACCGGAGTTCAAGTTTCAAACCTAGTGTCTTCATTATTCTTTACACTTGCTTTGATTCACTTGTGGATAACAGACAAACACTATCCCAGAAATCAACTCTTTTTTTTTTCTTCTTCTTCTTCAGTCTTCTCCAGAAAGTTAAGAAAAGGGGAAAAAATGGCATCTGAAATGTAAGTACAATTTCTGTGTATGCCTTAACAGGGTTCAATGCTAAGGATTTTTTCTACTAGCCTGATTGGGCCAGTGGTTCTGATTTTTACTTGACCTGCCAAAATTTTCACTGGCCCTACCAAAAAAAAAAAAAGAAGTTAATAGCTATTTCTTAGCCACATACAGTATTTTAAATTGTTTCAATAGCCAAACAATTGTAATACCTACCCTTTTCATTGAAATTTTTTTTTTCTGACTATTTAAAAAAAATTCAATTGTAATGTGTGTGTGTGTGTGTATATATAAATATTTTTATTAATAAAAATATATATTATAACTAACTTATATTAGTTATATATATATATATATATATATATATATATATATATATATATATATATATATATATATATATATGTTGTATAAATTTTTTAAGGTTAGGGTTAGGTTATTTTTTAAAGAAATTATTCAGTAATTAAATGTAAAAAAAAATCTTAAATTGTTAAATATTTATAAAAAAAAGAAAAAAAAACTGCTTTCTTATTGTAGTTTCAAATAAAATTATTATTCCAGACATGATTACTTTTATTGCTATTACATTTATGACTATAAAATAATAATAATGATACCAACAATAATAATTAATATTAGTGATTTCTGACGGATCACGTGACTCTGAAGACTGGAGTAATGAAAAAGAAAATTAATCTTTAAAATCACTGGATTAATTTATTAAATTAATTGATAAACTACTTTTGAACATTTATTTTAAAGTGCAACTTTTCACAATTTTGCTGTATTTATAATGAATTAAATGCATGCTTGGTGAGCAGGAGAAGCTTATTTTAACATATTTAACAATCACACAGATCCCAAATTTTAGACCAGTTGTGTATAGAAAATTTTATGAGCGAAAGTGTGCACTTTAATTTCGACACCCCTCAGACATCGTCACCAAATGTGAATCAGAGAGGTCAGACTTTCAAATACAGAGCCTCATGCCAGTTGTCAGGTTTTGTAAAAATCTATCTATTGAATTAACCAATCTATTAAAAAACATTGGATAGAATTCTGCATTATAGGCTGAAATTATAGAGAGACATAGCATATGAACCGAGACTGCATCAGATCGCAAAGCGGATCAATGTTGAGCAGCTTTCGGTAATATTTCAGAATGCTTTCACTTTCGCATTAGACATGAAACTCACATTTACCCGTAGGAATGACATCTCGCCTTACTCATAATTCTCTCTTCATATGCCTATTACGCAATCATAAAACACTGTGACATAGCCTGGGTCGTTAGTTCGTTGCATTGTTTTGTTTTTTCACAACAATCGATCCACTCAATCGAGCAGAGACCATCATCAGGTGATCTTGGACTGATTGATTTGGCGTGGATGCAAGCGCGATTGCTGGATTCACATATGCCAAACAAACCACTCTAACAGGGGTAACGAGACAGATTCTGAAATAAACGTCTATATGTGAAAGCACCCTAAGATTGTATTTGCACGCAATAAACAGACAGTCACAGCCAAACTTTTGTGACAAGGCAGCAATGGCCCCATCGTCTCGATCGCTGGTCTGCAGCCAGTGGGCAGTCCTTATTGTCGAGCCCTGCTTAAGTAACTGTACTTTGAGACTAAGGGCCTACTCACTCTATGCTATCCGAACTGTGCCCAGGCCCGTTTTCTGGATCGTTTGAGAAGTGTGAGTGCGCTGAATCGAGCTCAGGCATGGTTCAATTGGGTTTTGGCGCGGTACGTTTGTGTGTGCAAAACACGCAAAAGCCAGAAACTGAAAGCAAGACGTGACTTTTAAGCGACTGTTTCATATGGATTTATTAATCATTCTTACCTTTCAATGAACGCAAACTGTCGTAGTTTATTACAGACACAAACTTCTCACTGCATCACAGCTGCACCTTCAGCAAACCTCCTAACTCTTGCAGCACGAGGACTTTATGACTGTTTATGTGTGTCAAAAGTTGCTGATCTGTTCGGCGAAATAATTGACTGTGTGTCACAGCATCCCAAACGACTAAAACAGTACAACTTGAAAAATCTACACTCTGCTGAGTGAGAGCGCATTTCTACTGAACAGCGCATCGTCTATGAAGTAAGCGTTCCCAGGCCCGAATGTAATGTGAGTGCGGGCCATCTGGGGAGACGAGAGGGGGGACAAGCGTGCTTTGGTCCGGTTCAAGACACTGTACATAGTATGGCCTAATTTGATCTTTTGGCATTAATTTCATGGAGTTAACATTCACTGGAGTTAGCATGCTGAATCAAAAATGTTATCTTATCTAAGTTTATCTATCTTACTTTATCTGTATCTAAGTTTAAAAAGCTTAGAAGTGGATATTTTATTGATATTAGTCTTAGTCTTTGGACCCACACGAGCGCAGGGAGAACATGCAAACTCCACACAGAAACGTCAACTGACCCAGCCGAAGCACGAACCAGCAGCCTTCTTGCTGTGGGTCGACAGCATTACCTACTCCATCGGCCTTTTTTTCATTGCTTTTAGAGTGAAATACTTGAACATAAACATAGGAGGTTAAGAAAAATGTTCATTTAGGGAGAAAACTTTGGATGGCATTTAAAGATTTTTGCATCTGAACTTTTCACTCACACACATATATATATATATATTTGCTTTATTCGATTAAAAAAATAAATTAATCGCACTTTTTAAAAAGAATAATTGCGAAACTTGTAATTTTGGCTATTCAAATGTAAAATTAATGTAAAGGCAAGACAAATACTATTTAAATTATAAATTTAATCGTTTATTACATTTTTTGTTTAACTTGTAACACAGATTTCTTCATGTAAACAACATACACACAATAAACCATCAAGATCCTGGCTTGACAGCCATATTTATTACAGAAATAAAAACACAGGCATGTTAATGACATTTAAATTTTAAAACAATCAATGCCAATAAAGAAAACATTGATTTCCATGTTGGATTCTAAGTGGACTGCAAAAAAAAAAAAGCCAAAATACAAGTATTACAGATATGGAAAATGGAAAATTATAATAATAAAGTATTGAAAACAAACAATTGTACTAATTGCAGAGTTGGACTGGGACAAAATAATCGGCCCTGGCATTTTGGGCCAGAGCAGCCCACTACATCAATCAAAATGCTCCCCACCACCCCACGCCCTTGATTATGTTTACCAACTCCCATTCTATAAAAGCACAAAAGCCATATATAGGAAATAATGAGAGTTGACAAATTAAAAACTTAAATTTTTTTATTATTATAATGAAATTATTGTCCACACTGGAAATGTGGGTGCCTGTGTGTTTTGAGGGAGCCTAATAAATAATGAACATGACAAAAACTGCCTGCTGACGCACACAGTTAATGTTGATTAATAAAATAAAGATAAATGATAAAAGCAATGTATCAGAGACCCTTAAAATATGTTTAACTCAATAATGAAACAATAAACGATGCTAAAAGATTTTACTTTGTCAATCAAATGAACTTAAACAATTTAAAAATGACAACAAATATTTGTTTGAGCCCGAACTATAAAACTAAATGTTGATTAAGTTGCACACTAGTTTGGTCATGTATAAATATCATTATAACCATATTGTATAAATATTATTGTCACTATAAGCCTACATCATGCTGACGATCAAAAACACAATGTCATGATATCTCAGGCGATTGTCTTTTGACCAAGTGCATCTTAAAATACATGAATGACACCCCTCATAGAGCTTGAGAAGCAGACATTCTTTATCATTTGTAAAATAAAGACTTGCAGGTTAAGGAAACAACATAGGAGGAAGTTGCTGCGGGCCGTGATGCAGATTAAAAGTAAAAAAAAAACAAAAGTATATTTATATGGACAGATGGGTAACTAGATAGAATAGACAGGAATATAATGACCTGTCCTCCACTGCAGACTGCAGAGACGCAAAGGGCAAGTGCCTGGCTGCTCTCCGCCTCTGCTCTCCCTCCGCCACGCATAAGAAACATGCGTGACTCTCGACTTTTTTGACAAATACACACCTACATTACACAGAGCCCAACATGGAAGTTTGTGATTGGGTCAGCCCAATGTCAATAAAGAAAAGAACCAATGGGCTGCAGATTATGTCACATGGCTGCTCTGTCCGGAAAAGAAACATCTCACTTTCACTTAACGCAGTCTGCAACCGTGTTAATTGCGTAAAAATTTTTTAACGCGTTAATTGTTTCAAATTAATCGCATGCGTTAACGGGTTAATGTTGACAGCACTAATATATGTATATATATATATATATATATATATATATATATATATATATTCACATACATCATGTTTTTAGTTATTCAATCTTATGTTTTAAATTTGTGTGCCCAGTTTAAAGCTGTTCTTGACCTCATGAATGTGTGTTTTACAGGTCAGTTAATCGCAACATTTTCTATTGCCTGCTGTGCCAGAAGCCACAGAAAACTCTCTCTGTACACCTGACCAGGCTGTGCATGAAGGCCAGCACACCAGCGGAGAGAGCCAAGGAGCTGGAGAGGGCCAAGGCATCCAATAGGGCCTGGATGATGACCAGCAGGACCTGGGACTACAACCAGCTCTGCCAGATCCTTCCCGATAGGAGCTCTCGCACCAATATGGTGAAGGAGCTCCTTCAGCGTGGGTTTTTCATCAAAAACCAGCCCACAGAACCGGAAACAGATGTTGTGAGCCAGTCCACAGAACCGGAAACAGCTGTCGTAAGCCAGCCCACAGAACCGGAAAAAGCCACCATGTCTGCCATTCCTGACAGCGCTGCTATTTTGAGAGCTGCCAAACCTGAATTCTTGCGAGTCTGCATGAAACTGCAAAACAACATTGAGGTCCTTAGTAGTGAGAAGGTGCTCTTCCGCTATTATTGTGAGGCTATCTTGATCCACCACTACTTCCAAAGCCCTGGAGCGGTGCAAGCCTTCACAGTAAGTTAATCTGCTTTAGTGAGTCAGCACATGTGATGTGGTGTGATACATATGACATGTTGAAATGCCCTGTTCTCGATGTTTTCCAGGATTCAGAATGGGTGGACCGGCTTCACCACGGTGGCAGAGTTGTGACTGGCGTCCACAGCCAGAAAGCGATGTTTGCCCTCACTCTTCAAGAGGAAGTGGTATTTTTAATTGTGATAAGTCACACTTTTTACTGTGAAAATTAATTGCACACTCTTCAGATGAGTGAGAACAGGAGACTCTGAAACCTGAGTGGTGTTCAAGATCACTGTGAAGTTCTCTTGCAGTCTGGCAGTCATGGCCACAGCAATATTGTGACAGTGGGACATGGTGATCAGATAGTTTGAACAATTATACTCTCATAGTCTAAAATGTTCTCCCTTTCCTATCTCCACAGTGGTTTCAGCTGTATTTTGTGCAGATCAGGCCTGAAAACATCCGGCCTGAGAAGTGCTGCAACCAGTTTTTTCTTAACTCTTCTGGCGAGGCTTTGAGCAATGTCGCACAAGACATGAGACGCCTGCATGACATGTACATGCCTACACATACACTTCATGATGTAGTAGCAGTCTTGTTGTTTTAGAACTCACATATTTCTTTCCCTTGTTGCAGGTTTAAGCTGCCCTTGGGCAGCAGTCAGTTTATGCGGAAGACTCTTCGGATTTCTGCAAAAAACCTGCCTACACACCAGCGAGACGCCATTACACTTTATCTGGCCTGCAGTTCTGGAGACCCACACCAAACTCACAGAAGGCTGCAGCCTCAGCAGGTTGTTGACACGGCTGTGCTGCTGGACTCCTTGGTGGGGTAGGTCTCCTCATCCAGCATCAGAATTCAGCATGCATGTTTTCATGTACTTTTCTAAATATAGATTTTAACATTATTTTTACAGCTTTTCGATAGAAGACGAGAGCCGTGCAGTGGCTGAAACCAGCGAGGAGATCGAGCCAGTGAAAGACTTCTCATCATTTATTTCCAGTTTTCCAGTCTCCCGTGGAGGTCAGCCACCGACTAAGATGCAGCGGCTCAATGCCGGATTTCCTGATGACCGTGTGTTTTATGATAAGTGGAGAACCGTCCAGTATAACCAGAGACAGGAATATCTGTTGTGTAAGTTGTCTAATCTATAAACACAGCACTGACAGTCAGTCATTTACTCAAACCTGGGCATTTATTCATTGTATGGAGGATTTTTTTTCTCTCTCTTTTAGCACAATTCACACAGAGTAAACCAACAGCTGTCACAGTGGCAAAGGTTATTGGACAAGAGGGGTGGAAAGGCAATCACCCTAAGCCTGAGGAGATTGTGAGCCTTTGGAAGCCGGCTCTCAAGGTGACCATCGAGAAAGATGAAATTATCATCAAGTCTGTTTCGCAGCAGAGCTGGTCAGGCCTTGCCATTAAGGACTTTGGTCCTGTGCGGGGTCAAGGTTAGTACATACCTTTCCTTATTTTTGTGCCCTAGAGGACTTTTAGCTGCAGCTCATTTTACACTGGCATTCTTTAAAAAGTCTGACTTTATTTAATGTTCAGGTCTACCTAAAAATGTCCTGTCCGTCTAATGTAATCTAACTAATGTAATGTCCTCTTCATCACAGGAGTGGTTGCAACCAAGCGCTTTTCCAAAGGTGACATTGTCTGTGATTACCATGGGAAGGTCATCTCTGGCACCAGTGGAAGACAGATAATGGAAGACATCAGAGATAAAAGCGGCTACCTTTTCTTTTTCAAAGCAGGACAGAGGGACTTCTGCATTGACGCGCGGACCTTCCCTTGTGAGTGCCATCCAGACAAAGTCTCGTTTGGGAGAAAAATCAATCACTCATCCAAGATGGCAAACCTTAAGCTGGTACACTGTGTGATGAAAATCAATGGGAAGGACACTGATGTTGTGCTTTTTAAAGCACTGCAAGACATCGACGTGAACACACATTTAAAATTTGACCATAAATTTATTTCTTTTTAAATTATTATAGGCCATGCAAAGGACAGCTGATCAGGGCATTACTGTGTGTTTCGATGCTAAAAAGAAAACCCATAGATGTGAAATTGGTCTGTGGCCTAAAAGAACTCTCCAGAAAGTTTGCAGTTCTAGGGAAAAATAAGAGTTCTGTTATAAGGTATAACATGCAAATACATGTGGTTTTCACTGAGTTCTGTTTCTTAATTGTCTTGAAGATATTAAAAAGATGTGCATTTGTTATGCTGGAATCTTTATAAACTGAACTTCAGAATTCCCTGTACTTAAATGTGCAGAACTCTGTTCAAACAACAGCATATCTTTTTACGTTATATGTAAACTCCTGCTGACCAAAGAATGTTTGAGGAGCTCTCCGGACTCAGGTCATGGGATACTGGGGACTGGGTTGAACTGCTGCAAACTAACTTAAAATAAAACAGGGAAAACATGATGATTATTTTGAAAATTTCTATCATTATATGGTCAACATTAATATAATAATGCAACATTAGGTTTTGTCTTAAAACCCTCTTCAAAGTGTCAGTTTGTGTTTCACAGAGATACTACTAGAGACCCAGACTTAAGTAAAAGTACAAGTGCTCTATCAAAAAAGTGACTCAAGTAGAAGTAGAAGTGCTACTTAAGTGGAATAATAAAGTATTCAACATTTTTGTACTGAAGTATTGCAAGTAGTTTATTTCAAAATGTACTACTCAAGTACTGAAAGTAAAAGTACAAGTATTGTCTAATGTAGTTATTCAAAAAGCAGTCAAAAGACATATTGTTTTGTTTATTTTAAATATCTTTTTTGGGCCATGTTATTAAGCAGAACGAGAAAGAAAAGGCTTATGATACTGTTCTTCTCTCGCGCTTGAACCACAGATCTGGCAGAAATTTAACAGCTTTAACAGACACCTTTCAAAGTTGTGTCACAAAAATACTTTCTAATCCACTCAAAGCACTATTAAAACCTATTTATAGATCGCGAATTACTGTAAACGGAAGTTCTAAACATTCTGGTCATGAAGATGCTGGTCACTATGGCGCTTGTCTCTGGAGAAATCTTTGTCATGTTTAAATCTTATCACGGTCTGCGTTACAAGCTCACTGCCACAACATAAGCAGCCAGTGCTTGTATTGCCGTTTTAAATAGACCGCCCGTGCTTTCTTGTGTTGATGCATGTTTTTTCATTCCAATAATTGGTTGAAATGTTCTGTAATAAAAGCTTTAAATAAAACACAAAAGGTAAACAACCCGATGAACTGAAGTGTGCGGTCATCCATTAACACGATCATCAATGTAAGTGGGTGAGTAATACCAGCGCGCGCATAAACTTACACCGGCAAAAATAATCATTATGATTAATAATGTGTTGAGGGAAACAAAAACATTTTTATTCTTTGTTAATAAAATAATGCAGCTATATTCTCAGTGATGTAGGCTGAAAAATATTTTTGTGCTGTGTACTGTTTTATTGCTGTGACTTGGGGGGGGGGGGGGGTATGTGGAGCATTTCTAGGCAAATTCATAATGATTCACTTTGTTTAGTAAATTTCATAGTTATAAAACACATTTAAAGAATATTTGAACACATTCAGCTATTCCTTTTTTTAATTGCACCAAAGGTATAATCGCAAAGGAACATTAAATGTAAACTGCTTAATTGTGTGCATAAACGCATATGGTGCAAATACCTTAATTAGGTATTGTGAGAATAAAGATGTCTGCATATTTGTAGTGAGTTTTTGTAGTTAAAGTTTGCATAACCAAATATTAATCTTATCCACCTGTGACTGACCCATAAGTAAATATGCAGACAAGTTTTTGATTAGCTGACAAGAGCATTACCAGCACCCACTGAAATAACTTAAAAATCATGTGGGATAAACGTGATAGCGGGATTAAATGGTAAAATACGGGAGAATCTCGACAAAAACGGCAGGGTTAAGTTGCCCACAGAAATTTTCTGGTAATAGCTCAGTATAAAATGTATTTCATAACATCATCTTTTTGATTGACGCCGTCAAACGTTCTGCCCAAATGCTCAAGAGGCACCTAATCACATTAATATTTCCCTAAGCTATATGACACTTGATGGATAATTTCCCTTTATTTAAGAGAATAATTTAAGGATGATGCATATTATTCGGTTATCAAGGAAACCGTTAAGTGTTGCAGGACATAAGAAGAAGTAATAAAATATAAGCTAGGCTATAGCCTATATTTCGTTAATTGCGCTCAGCAGCTACAATTAAAGCTCTACATTTACTGTTTTGTTTATTTTTTATTTATATAAAAACAAACACTTGTTTGAGCAGGGCTGGATGACAGAAAAGAAGCGGTTGGTAAAACCTCTGCCGCAAATTTTTAAATGCATTAAATGGCAAGCGCATACCTTAGCCTTACCCTGAGTTTGTTCACTCTGAATGTATTAGCATATAGCTGTATTTTAATATAGCTAATTTTGATGAATTAGCTCTAACTTTTGACAACTTTTTCTTCTTTTTACGCAATTATTCATGAATTATAAAAAAAAGAAAAAAAAACTAAGGGGGCTAATAATTCTAACTTCAACTGTATATATATATATATATATATATATATATATATATATACAGTTGAAGTAAAAATTATTAGCCCCCTTTTGTTTTTCTTTTTTTTCTTTTTTTTTATATTTCCCAAATGATGTTTAACAGAGCAAGGAAATTTTCACAGTGTTTCTGATAATATTTTTTCTTCCGGAGAAAGTCTTATTTGTTTTATTTCGGCTAGAATAAAAGCAGTTTTTAATAAAAAAAAAAAAAAAATTTGGAACAAAGATGAAATAAATCAGTTATTAGAAATAGGTTTCTAAAACTATTATGCTTAATAATGTGCTGAAACAATCTTCCCTTCATTTAACAGAAATTGGGGAAAAAATAAACAGGGGCGCTAATAAGTCAGGGGGCTAATAATTCTGACTTCAACTATAGACAGTATATAGTATATATATATATATATATATATACATACATACATACATATATATATATATATATATATATATATATATATATATATATATATATATATATATATATATATATTAAGGGTGGAGCCGAACCCGAATACGGTATTCGGAAAGGCACGAATAGCGTGTTTTTACGAATACTGATTTCGAACAAATACTTGAAAAATTATTTGTATTCGGGAGCAAGAAAAGCATTACATCAAAAAGCTGCGTTTCCTCCCGAGACCACAGTGCGTGAGTGAGTGAGGGAGAGAGAGAGAGAGACGCTCAGTCGGAGGGCGGGGCAGAGGTAAAAGGTCTCTGGCACAGGCTTCTCCACAGCAGCAGACAGAGAAGGCTCGGCTGAGCGAAAAAAATACTTCTCTGCATAACTATTTTTGTTAAATAGATTTTTGTACCTTAATTGGGTTCCAGATGCAGTTTATAAACTTGTAGCAGAGTTAGTTCGGGATTTTACATTACGCTGCATTTTTGAAGTTTGCAATCGGGTGCTCTCTGTTTACGCAACTTTAGCTCTGTTAGCGTGGTAATTTAGACAATAGACTGTTGACAGAGTAACGTTAACGTTCGTTTATAAAGGTTAAAACGATGCTTGTGCAGTTGTGTCGAATAGTATGGGAGTTAAATGGTAAGTCTAAGTTATATGGTATGGGAGTTGGTACGTCTCTGTCTTTTGCAGACAGCAAGATATATGCTATAGGCTAGTTAACCTTAGCATAGCTTCCCGTCACTTTTTATTAACTTGAAACTCCTCAAATACATTTGGGCACCATGAAAAAGAGTGAGACTGCTGCTGAGCCATTTCTTGGTCCTCCACCAGTAAAAAAAATAAAACTTCATGTTCTTTGTGGAAGCATTTTACAGTCAGTGGTGCTGCAGATAAAACAAAGTGATTCTGTATAATGTGTGCAAAAGTGAAATCAGCTGAGGCAGAGATATTAAACATCTGTCAACATCTTCTATGCATAATCATTCATTTCTTTTTGGCTTAGTCCCTTTATCAATCTGGGGTTGCCATGGTGGAATGAACCACCAATTTATCCAGCATATGTTTTACGCAGTGGCTGCCCTTCCAGCTGCTACCCAGCACTGGGAAACATCCATACACTCTCTTTCACACACACACACACAATAGGGACAATTTAGCTTACCCAATTCACCTATATTGCATGTGTTTAGACTGTGGGGGAAACCGGAGCACCCGGAGGAAACCCACACCAACATGGGGAGAACCCAGTCGAGGCTCGAACCAGCAACCTTCTTGCTGTGAGGCGACAGTGCTACTCACTGTGCCACGGCGCAACCTTCTATGTAATGTATTATCACATGCACTAAAAGCATCCTCTCCTGATACTGTCTGTGAACCCCCCACAAGCATCAATCCCCTCAATCAGCCCAGCTATGCTCTGCTAAATCCTCCACAAGCACCAAACCATCAACACAGCCACATTCTGCCCCAGCAAGTCAGTTTCAAACATAAAAAAGTAAAAAAAAAAAACTTTGTGTCTGTTTTGTGGCAGGCAGATGACAAAAGCAGGACTGTATCTTTTAGTATTATATAGAATACTTTTGTTCTGCCAGATCTCCCAGGCAGGGTTTTATTTAGATTTATTTAGTTAATTTTAGTTTTTGGAATTCTGTGCATTGGAAAGAAGTTCTTTCAGAAGAAGAACAGTTTTTTGAAATATTATTTGTTTTTATTCTGTCTATTCAGTGTCCTTCAACAAGAACGGTGGTGGTGGGGTTCATAATATTCACAATGGTATTTTATTAGTTGTTGGTTTAACCATGGATGAGATAATGGCTTCTATGTTATTTTCTTTTCAATGACATTTCTTGTCACATGTTCAAAAACAACAACTAATATTGCATGTCTATAATTTATATAATGGGTATAATTAAACAATACTTTCACTATAACGTAAATTAGAAGTGTAATAGAAAAAATATATATTTTTGCGCCATTTTGAATTGTACTCGAATACAAATACAAATACTTTTTCCCCCTTAACAAATACAAATACCGGTTGCTCCGCACATCCCTAATATATATATATATATATATATATATATATATATATATATATATATATATATATATATATACATATATATATATATATATATATATATATATACATTAAATGTAATAATGTAATAATATATATAAATTCTACGGAACCCCGGAAGGGACGTAGTGGAGGAGAAAAAAAATGGGTGGGTGAAAAAAAAAATGAGTGAAAGAAAAAAAATGGGTGGGAGGAAAATATATATTTCTAATTTTTTTGCGTTCTCTCGCAAAGATGTTTTGCGTTATCTCGCAAAGATGTTTTGCGTTCCCTCGCAAAGATGTTTTGCGTTATCTCGCAAAGTTGTTTTATGTTCGCCCGCGAGACGTGTATTCTCACGAGACACTTGTTCGCGGTTGTTTGCATTTGGTGTTTGCACTTGCACAGCGTCAACATCACTTCACTTTAATGATCTTGAATGTTAACACTCCGCAGTTGGATCGGAGAAAGGTCATACTTTTGCGGTGAGTTATCATAATAAACTCTTTTTGATTAGATTGCACGGAAGGTCCTTTGAGTAAGTTAAACTAACTTAAACTTTTATGTGATTGATTGTCATCTCATCAACGGAGACGCAGCTAGCGCTAATTGTTGTAGCTCTATGATGGACGATGATCTACAACAGTTTTTGAGGTCAAGAGACGTCCCAGAACAGGACATCATTCTCATGATAAGGGACAAGGTTAGTAATGTTTCATTAAAAGCAAGTTTTAGCAATTACGTTAACAACATACACAACCCTGTAACGTGTATCCCTGTATATGTAAACATTTAATAATATCCTTAAATATGGCCACATTTATTACACAGATATTAATAAAGGTGTCATTTAGGTTCTATGTCTGTGTAAGTTTGCACATAATTAAAATGATTTTTTATATTACCTTGTTTTATTTAGAACTGTCCTTTTGAAACTTTACATAACCGAACATACATTTATTCCACAATAACATAAATACAACCGTGGCTGTTCAAAAATATGCTAACAGATTCACTTAACAGGAACTGCAAGTAGGTATTGTCTATATAGATTAACTGTACCCTCAATATTAATAATTAACTTCATTCTAGAACTATGTCTTGTGAAGTAATTAAAACATTTTTTGTAAATGATTAAAATAATAAACATTGCAATATACACATTTTTTTATATTTATAAAGTTTTAGTGCATAAATTCATGTTCTTTCAAAAGCCATCCATATATTAAATTAAATCTTCAATCACCGCTTTTTCAGATTGACAAGTCTGTGCTCTCTGTCATGACTGATGAGCAAATGGCAAAGTATGTTAGTTCATATGGTGACCGACTAGCTATCGTCTCCTTCTGTCAACAAACAGCAGCCTCCTCTGATAAAGAATCCCTTTTAAAGAACCTGAGAGACAAAATTGAAGCAAGGAAACTTGGTTCATCTAAAACTTTCCAAGGAAAAAGGTGTGTTATCCCTAAGGAATGGAATGCCATGGCAAGAAACAAAAATTCATCTGCAGAAAGAACCACCAGGAGAATTGTAATTGGATGGCTTCACTATGGTCGTAATGGATACCAGCAAGTGAGGACCAATAATGGTGGTGGGACAAGACATTTGACAGTTCAAAAAGAGACAACTGTTGAACAAATAATGGAAATGGGAAAGAATCTTTTTTTTCCAAATGGGGAGTCTCCAAAAGGTCCAGAAGCAGACTTCACATTTCATGTTTGTGATTTCAAAAGAAACTAAATTGTTTTGGACAGTACTGTTGGAAATCTGTATGAACAAACCAAGCTGAAATTGTTGAGGTTTTATATTTGCACTAAACAAGAGGTTTACCTCACAGACGAAGAATCTTTATCTGAAGAAGATAAAGATGGGTTTAATGACCACTCATTATGACAGGATGGATCAGACAGTGATACAGAAAGACCTGCTGCATCATTGTCATTGCATGGATGTGATAGTGATGTTGATCATGCAAGCACACACTTACTGGATTATAGACTTTCATCTAATGAAAAAAGCAAGAAGGTATTTTGCACTTAAAAATAGATTAAGAACAGAGCTGTTCAAGATTTGATTTAGAATAAATGTTAGTAATTTAGTGTAATGTTTATGTTTAGTAATGTTAGTAAATTTTTTGTTTCTCAGAGACGAGTGACAACAGAAACCCAGAGACCAGGGGAATTGGAGGATGTTGCACAAAGTGGCTTTACCGCAGATGCACCTAGCACTTCATACTGCTTTCATTCACTCTTGAATGATATCAAAAAAGCACATGTCGTCCAAAGAGTCGCAAGCAGCTCAAGTGATGAGGAGACTGGTAAATTGTTCAATTACAGTTTGCAGCAATCAAAGAGTCCACAGGATTTACATGAGCACTGTGATTTTCAAAGAGACTGTGAATTGATTGACTTGACAAATCAGATCCCTCCATTACAAAACAACAGAGTTGAAACTCTTGGATTTGATATGGAAGAGACAGTTGAGTGGAGGGAAGGGGATGAACTTGGAAACAGAATTGAAGATGAAGAAATAGTAGTAACATGGGATCTGAGAGAGGAAATCATTGAGGTAATGTAATCCTGATTAGCAAAGTGTCTCTGTAAAAAGAGTTATATTTAAATTTAAAGCCTTAAAACTATACTAGATTTAGTTTTTATAAACTTAAGGGGCATTATTATAGGTACAATACATCAGATATACTATGCTTTGTGCTTATTAAGTTACATTAGAATTGACAACATTGAACTATATTGACACAGACTTTTTTGTGACAATTTCATACTTTCTTTTTTGGTATATAATTCATCCAGAATGCTGAGCTGACTGACGCTGAAAATGAGGAGCCATCACTACCCTTAAGTAACAGCCATCATGTATTGCAGGTATGACTTACAAAACATGTTTTTAAAGTTTTCCTTTCTTGTAAGCACTTTAGAACATAGATAATCAGGCTCTATACACCAACACAATGGATTTGAAATGAAATGAACAAGATGTGCTTCACTTGAAATCAAAAGTTTACATACACTTTTTACTTTTTAGAATCTTGAAACATGCTATTTATTGTACAACACTAAGAGAGCTCATATAAACTGCATTTTTCGATTAAGTACTGACCTGAGTAAGATAAACAAAATTATGTATACACAAAAATCACACAAAAGCAGTTAATATACAGTTTAGATACATTGAAGTCCATGAGAGAAAGTAGTACGTAAATGAATACATTATATTTAAAACTGCGTTGTATCCTGAATGTTATTGAGTGCCTTTTTTGTGCTAAATAGTTAAACTGCCTGCTTGATATTCAGAGAATTCCTCGAGGTCACACAGATTCAGCAATGTGTGTATTTGAACCCTTTCCAATGTTGACTGGTTTATAGATTGATCTTTAAAATAAAAGAAAAACATATGCAATTACTGACAACTACAGAATGTTTAAATGCTCACTGATACTCCAGAGAAAACAGCATGCATTAAGAGCATCGTTTTTTGTTTTCTTTGTTTATGAAGTATCAGTGAGCATTTAAGAATTCTTTAACAGTTACATATGAATATCTCAGTGTAAAAACAAGGATTTAAAAATCATAAAGTCATTTTTAGAAAGGGTTCAAATACACACAGTTGTTGGAAAAACTAAGATGTTGTGATCTCTGAAGGATTTCTGAAGAACAGCAGGCAATTGAACAATTCAGGTAAAACAAGAGACTCGAAATTATTGCAAAAAAGTAGAACGTCCAGGAAACCACAGAGTATTAGGAAGTAAGTGTGCAATAAATGGTAATTTTTGTAAATTCAACTTATTTTTTGTAACTATTACAGTGGCCAGCTCAAATGAGTACACCCCTCACAGATCTATATCAAATTCGTATTTTGTTTAGGATGCTTTAGAATATATTTACATGTTCATAAACATTATTAGCCAGTACCAAAGTCAAAACTTAAACTAATGAAACAAAAAGGTAAGATAACCGTTTCAAAATTAATTCAAAATTAGAACACCCAATTGAATATGTTGTGGAAAAATATAAAAATTTTAATAAACAGGAAAAATCAAGATGAACATAAACATGAATTTATTTGTTAGATTGTTGTGGTTGTTTTGTTGCAATAACTTGTTATTAAAAATGTGTTTTCTTCCTATTCCTAAAAATGTTAGGTGACTAAACTTTTATTTTAATTGATATAACTGTATAATAAAAGGTAAATAAAAGTTTACTTTAAATGGACCAACGTATATCTATTGTCTATATTCACTGACGATTTAATAAAAAGTATTAGCTTTCAACAGGGGATGCATTCATTTATGCTGAGCACTGTATGTGAATGTCTTTTATTTGGAAAATTTATTTTTCAGGTCAGTACTATACGGTACATAAAATATCAGTTATGAGTCTTTTTATTTTGGTACTATGATGAACATTTCCTCAATGTACATGCAGTTTCAAATAAATGAAGAATAGCATATTTTGGTAACACTCTACAATAAGGTTGTATTACTTAATGTTCATTAATGCATTAGTTAACATCCATTAACAGTAAGCATCACATCTGTTGAACATTACTTAATCTTTGTTAATGTTAACTAAATGTATATAAATGTATAATTAAATTTTAAACATTAACTTATAGTGAACAAAGTCTTCATTCAGTGTTAAAGAATCTTTATAAATGTTAACTTACTCATGTTATAATCTTTACATTAACAGCTTAATTAGTTGCGTCAGTTACATGTGTACTTTTACACACACTAATGCATTTGTTCATGGGCCAGATAACATGACCTAACAATGCGAAACACATCTATTTAGCAAAACTAAATTTATATAAACTATAAACATATTGATGTGTTAGTTAATGCATCGGTTAACATGAACAAATAATTAACAGATGTTAGTAACACATTAGATAATGTTGCAGTAGGGTAAACTGCAATAAGGTTCTTAATTCCTTTTACTAATGCTTTGTTAGTGTTGAATCATGTTAGTAAAGAGTCAACAAACATGAATAACATTGCTGTTTTGGTGCATTAAAAAATAAGTAAAACATCTGCTTGCATGATATTCATGTTTCTTGATTTACTAACATCATTAACAAAGCATTTGTTAAGGTAATTGTAAACCTTATTGTAGGGTACAGTACTTAAACATTATCTAATGTGTTACAAATATTTGTTCATCGTTTTATGTTAATAATGCATTAACTAATAACTAAATAACACAGTAACATGTTTAGTTACATCAATAAAAATATAGTTTAACAGATGTGTTTTTCACTGTTAATTCATGTCAACTAATCCATTAACTAATACAATCTTATTGTTAAGTGCTACCCATATTTTAAAGTGAGAGTAATTAATCCTTCGATTGCATACAGAATATAATTAGTATAGGTCAAAGACTATAGATAATTTAAAAATGCATAGGCTAAGAACAAACCTTTTGAAACCTAGCTAAAACCTGAAATTATCATTATTAAATTTTTAATTGTCAATGCTGTTCCTAAATTAGATGTCACTCCAAACCTGTGACTTTTCTCCTGTGTCTAAAAATGTCTGGCAAATTGGCAGCTTATAGAATATGACTGGAATGATTACTCAACAGTTTGAGTAAAATAAATCTTAAATCATTACTCCAGTGATAATTTCTGTTCTCTGCTTTTAAATGCAACTACATTGCATCTTCAGCAAATTAAATGTTTTGAAGACAATTGAAAAACCTAGAACTACACTAAATACTCATCCAAATCTAACTAAAATAAGTATATAAATGATCAAAAAGAGTACACAATGACACAAAAGAGTTTAGAACAACATTAGGGTTAGAAAAGCATTTTACTATACATATTGCTTGAATACTTATGAATACAGAATTTTAAAAAAAGTTTAAATATTTTTCGTAAATATTTTTATTTTTACCTTCATCTAGATGGGTTCCGAAATGCCTTCAACCCCAGACAGTCTGCCATCCCATTTAAGAGACCAAATTTCTTCTTCATTTGGAATCTCTGCAAATCTAACAGAAGTGCAAGCTTTAATACACAGGGTAAAGGTGGTAGAAGATCTTTTGTCTGTGTTCATGGACAGAAGCATAATTCAGTCTACTTTGAAAATGGAATTTGTAAATGAGATTGCTGTAGATGATGCTGGAGTATCCAGAGAAGTTTACACTGCATTCTGGGATCAGTTTTTTTGAGCAGTGTGAAGGGGAAGATGAGCGTGTTCCAAGACTGAGACCAGATTTCTCTGAACCTGAATGGGAGGCAGTAGGACGGATCTGGGTAAAAGGATTTCTTGACCTTGGTGTACTGCCTGTGAGACTTGCCAGTGCTTTCATACTAGCATGCATGTATGGAATTGACTCAGTGGATGATGAGTTATTGTTGTCATCTTTCCACAACTACCTCTCTTTGACAGAACGAACTGCCATTGCAAAGGCTTATGAGGGCACGCTGGATGAATCAGACGAAGAGGATTTGCTTGACCTCTTCACGAGAATGGGCTCTCACAGAATCCCTTTTAAAAACTTGCAAAATATGAAAATTGCCATCCAAACAATGGCTCATAAAGCCATACTTCAAGAGCCCAAGTTTATAATAGACTGTTTCTCAAAAAACATGCCATTGGCACTGCTGAAAATACCAGACCAAAAAAGTCTAGTGTCTCTGTACGAGAAAAAGAAGGCCACTGGCAAAAAAGTAGCGCAGCTACTGCAAACAACACAGGATGTCCGGTCTCAGAAAGAACAGATGGTATTCCATCATCTGCAACGTTATGTCAGAAACGCAGACCAAACCAAAGCAGAAACATTTCTGCGGTTCTGCACTGGCTCTTCCGTCATATGTGTTGAACAGATCAAGGTAAGCTTCAATGCTGAATCTGACCTTAGCAGAAGGCCAGTAGCTCATACATGTGGCGCTACACTTGACTTGCCATACACTTACAGTTCATACCCAGACCTCCGCACAGAGCTTGATAACATTCTGTCTAGTGATTGCTTCGAAATGAACATCCTGTGAAATTGGTGTTTTTCAGGATAGTTTATTGTGTTCATGGTACATTTATGGAACAATCTGTAACTTTTATTAACCTGTTGGTAACTTTATCAGTGGTACCTGTGTAGATTTTTATACCATGGGGAAAAGGAACACTCATATTTTGTTTAACTATTGATTGGAATTCACCCCATATAGTATTAATTTGTTTTTCATTTGATTGTCAGGAAAATTAAACTTTTATTTTGAATTGATTGGCTAAAACAATCTTTATATGATGCAATGTCATTATTGTTAGTGTAGAAATAATTCTGAATCATATTTTGGTTAATTGCATAAAATTGAAGTTTATCCATATAAAGTGGACAAAGTGGTATGTATTCTTGCATAATTTCACTTTAACAGTTCATTGCAGCAAATATTACAGACGCATTGTTTTGTATGCATTACTTTCTCTCTAAAAAAAGGGTAAACAATTTGAGATTATATATTTAAATATATTTGTGCTGCTCAAAGTTTTTCAATGGAAATTTTAACTAGTGTTCCGTTTTCTCGAACTTAATTGTTAGTAAGAAGTTTTTTGAAATTGAACCTTGTTTATTCTAAAAGGTTTAAACTGTTTACATGGTTATAGAGATTCGAAAGGTTTGAAATTGACAGATTTAGCCATAGCCGTTCAATAGTTATAAAGTTTTAAAATATTGATTATTTACCTTACTACAGTTTAAAGTTGTTTTTTAATTGAAACAACACTGGGAATTATACAAATGTTTTATTTTTATTTTTTTATTCACTGCAATACAACATTGTGAGCAAGGAAAGTTATTGGAATCTTTAATCTTTATTTATGTTCTGTCCTGTTATATACAGCTTTGTTTACAATAAAGTATTATGCAAATGTTTGTTTCATTTTTAATGAGTTTGTCATTTCAAGACACATCAATGTTCTCTCTACAGTACACATTTAAGTACTTTATACAATTCATCAATATTACAGGGTTGCCCAGGAGAAAGTCTACAGCAGGGATGTCAAACTCAATTCCTGGAGAGCCGCAGCCCAGCAAAGTTTAGTTCCAACCCTTATTAAACACACCTGATCAAACTAATTGAGTCATTCAGGCTTGTTTAAAACCTACAGGTGTGTTGAAGCAGGGCTGGAATTAAACTGTGCAGGGCTGTGGCTCTTCAGGAATTGAGTTTGACATCCCTGGTCTACAGGCTTTGTAAACTTTTAGTTAAAGCAATGTCTTGATCGTATCTCTTAAGTGCATGTACAAATTCACAGCTTGAAATGGATCTCTTGGAACGTTCAACTGAGACTCAAACATGAGTCTCATTTTTTTTCTCCCCCACTACGTCCCTTCCGGGGTTCCGTAAAATTCTCATTGCACTTAACAAGTTTACAATGATAATAAAGCATGCTAACAAATGTTAAATGATTAATGAAGGAATTATAATGCTTTGTTTTATCGTTTCATTTTCATTTATGAGAACAGTAGCATATTAACAGCTGCTGTGTAGGCTTTTTCTGTACGTTCGCATGCCGTCCCTTTGTGCTCCCTGGCGGCATTTTCATAAACTGCGGTTATACATTAAAAACACATGCTTGTCCATTTAAAGTGGCGGCGGTATATGCTACGGCGGTAATAGTCACATTGAACTCTTATCTACAGTAAATTAGTCTAACATGTACAATTATACCGACAAAAACCCATCGAATTATACAGACTTGAACCCACAATCCCCAGCTCCAGAAGCTGATGCTTTATCCATTAGGCCACTGGGCCATGTTATCAAGCTTTTGTCATGGAGCTCTTGTATGCCTTCAACAAGGTGCCAACGCATGGGAAACTGCACTTTAGGATCTAGATGCCAGTTTGCATTCCGTCAAATAAGAACTAATGGACAAACATTTTCTGTGTGCAATCATCCACATTCGTATGTCATTGGTCCTGGTTTTCGCGTATGGTGTGACTGGTCTTGAGTTTCAAATTCCAGCCAAGGCCACTCTAATTAACATGAATTCACAACCTTTCTGCAGCTTTTTTCTTGTTTGCATTTCATCATCATCCACCTAACATGAGACCATTAGTTTAAAGCCACAGGGGGCACTTAATATCAAGATCTCCATTTCCAGAGCTTAGCGAATCCTTTTAGGTTTGTAACGTCACAGTGAGATTTAAGCAAGATTGGATGAATCTTAATTGAAGTGCACAACAAGTCTGAGAATTCAAAGCGAACTATTGTCCTCAGTTCATCACACCTAAGCTTCAAGGGGACAAGTCGGGTTTTTTTCCCACAATTTAAATGTAATCCAACAAACTCAACCCAGGTTGGACTTGAACCCACAATCCCAAGCTTTGAAGGTTGAGGTCTTATCCATTAGACCAATACTAGCATTTGCCATATCTGTTGTATGGCTCAGGAAGTTCTTGTAACTCAGAAAACAGCACTTTAGGATCCCTATACCATATTGCATTCAGATGATCTAGTGTGGACACCTAATAACAAAACAGCTTCTCTGAAGACTATCCATTGTCATATCTTTTTGACCTAAGGGCATGAACCTAGCTTTTTGAAGGTCACACTGGATTGTCTTGCACAGCCAACTTAAAAGGAACTGCATCAAAGACAACCCAGGTGGGAATTGAAACCACAATACATAGGTTTGAAGGCTGGTGCCTCATCCATTAGGCCACTGGGCTGTTTTTACTGCCTGTGAACTGTAATATGCCTCCAGGGAGTTGCTGACACACGTAACAAAAACGAATGTAGATTGGATCAATTTTTTTGTGGCACTGCAGAATGCTTCTGTTGGTCTAGGGGTGTGATTCTTGCTGAGGGTGCGAGAGGGCCCAGGCTCAAATCCCAGATGAGCATTATGTCTATCACAGAAAAAGCAGTGGTGCTGTCTATGGTTTTTCTATGTTAATTGTAGCTACTTTTGCTGTGACTTTAGTTAATGAACATTTAGTGAACTTCTGATCTAAATCAGTCAAACATGTACACTTATACAGACAAAAAAAGAGAATCCTAAAGGATTCCATTAGGAGCTTTCTTATATGATTGTATTGAAAACTCCTAAAGGATTCCAATAGAATTTCTGTATGGGAATCCAATTAGAATTTTGATCTTTTTTCTTATATGATTGTTTTATAGGACAAGACATAAAAATATTTTAGGATAAATTCTACAATATTTTAATGGTATCCAATTCATCTTAATATAGATATGGTTTTCTATTGTCTCTCTCAACCTACTATAGTTTTGAATGTATTATGCAGTTCGCTAAAGCTCACCTTCATGTACTTGAGTGTACAGTATTAGTGCACACATTTCCAAACAAACATGCCTAGACCAAAAAAATATACAATGCTGCCCGACCAAACTGTGTGCTGGCCCACACAAAACAGAAGTCCACTGTGGGCCCATAGCAAGTCCACACAAAGAGTGAATATGGCCACACTGGGCGTAGTATAGGTATACTGGGGCACAGTATCTGGCTCAGAAGTATGTCCTATGAGCATGCTCTGTGGGTATTTAGAAATTAGCAAAATAGTTAGGTCCCACTAATATTACGTTGAGTCTAGGCACAAAATGTGCCTATAAGGTCCCAGTAAAGCACTCATACAAAGAAGTGTGGTTCCGAACATGCAGGGCCATTGTGGCTTTAACAAAAAGCAAAACTAGTTCACTTCTACTCTATATTTTGAAAGCAAAGTAAAGTCAGTAATAAATAAAGCATCTGAAAATATAAAGACAACATGGACTTTAATTCAAAGGTTTGGGACAAAACTGCTTTATTTGATAAAAATGCAGATATAAAAGTAACCTTGTAAATAATAATTCCTTTTTAATATGTTAACTTTTCCATTTGAATATTTTAAAATATGATTTATTCCAATGATGTTAAAGCTGCAAATGAAGCTATCATATATATATATATATATATATATATATATATATATATATACACACACACACACACACACACACACACACACATACAGGGTTCAACGCTAAAAAAAAGAAGTTAATAGCTATTTGACTGTGCATGTGTGTGTGTGTGGGTGTATACACACACACACACACACACACACAGTTGATTTAAGAATTATTAGTCCCCCTAAATTATTAGCACCCCTGTTTATTTTTTCCCCAATTTCTATTTAACAGAGAACAGATTTTCTCAGCACATTTCTAAACATAATTTTGATAACATCTCTAATAACTGATTTATTTTATCTTTGCCATGATGACAGTAAATAATATTTGATACAGCTTAAAGTAACATTTAAAGGCTTAACTAGGGTAATTAGGTTAACTAGGCAGGTTATGGTAATTAGGCAAGTTATTGTATAAAGATGGTTTGTTCTGGAGACAGTCTGAAAAACAATTAGCCTAAGAGGCTAATAAATTTGTCTTTAAAATGGTTCATAAAAAATTAAAAACTGCTTTTATTCTAGCCAAAATAAAACAAATAAGATTTTTTTCAGAGAAAAAAATATTATCAGACAAACTATCAACATTTCTTTGCTCTGTTAAACATCATTTAGGAAATATTTTAAAAAGAAAAAAAAAACAACAAAAGGGGGCTAATAACTCTGTATATATATTTACAGTAATTTTTAAAATGTTTTTTAAGGAAAATTATTCAGTTCATCAAGGCTATATTTATAAATATAAAAAAATGTTTAATTGTTAAATATTTATCAATTTTAAATAACTGCTTTCTTATTGTATGTAGTTTCAAATAAAATTATTACTCCAGACATTGTTGCTTTTATTACTATTACCATTAAAAAAATATAATAATAATTAATATTAGTGATTTCTGAAGGATCATGTGACTGGAGTAATGAACCTGAAATTTCATCTTTAAAATCACTGGAATAAATGAATAAATTAAATGATAAACTACTTTTGAACAGTTATTTTATAGTGCAACATTTCACAATTTGTATTTATGATGAAATAATTGCAGCCTTGGTGAGCAGAAAAGGCTTATTTTAACATTTTTAACAATCGTACTGACCCCAAACTTTTGACCAGTTGTGTATAGAATATTTTATAAGTGAAAATGTGCACTTTAATTTTAACAACCCACAGACATCGTCACCAAATACAAATAAGAGAGGTCAGACTTTCTCATACAGAGCCTCATTTCAATTGTCAGGTTTTGTAGATATCTATCTATTGAATTAATCAATCTAATAAAGAAACGTTGACTATAATTCTGTATTTTAGGCTTAAATTATAGAGAGACATAGCAGATGAACCGAGACTGCATCGGATCGCAAAGCAGATCAATGTTGATTTTCTTTCGAGTTGTCAGTGCAGAATAGACAAAACTCTGGCCTAACACAACATATTATACGATTAAAATATGGAAAAAATGATCAGATATTAACTTCGGTCAATTTTCCTAAAGGATAAACCGAGATCAGGCTGGATAAACAGCTCTCGGTAATATTTTAGCATGCTTTCATTTTCACATTTACCGGTAAGAATGACATCTCGCCCTGCTCATCATTCTCTCTTCATATAGCCGTATATATGGCTATTACACAATCATAATACACTGTGATATAGCCTGGGTCGTTAGTTTGTTGCATTGTTTCTCACTACAATCGATCCACTCAATAGGACAAAGACCGTCTCATTCAGGCGATCTCGGACTGATTGATTTGGCGCGGATGCAAGCGCAACTGCTGGATATATGCCAAACAAACCGCGCTAACGGGGGAAAGAGACAGATTCCGAAACAAACGTCTATGTGTGAAAGCACTGTAAGATTGTATATGCACACAATTGACAGACAGTCGCAGCACGCAGCTCTGGCACGATCTGGCAGGCAAAAAGGCAGCACTGGCCCGATCGGGCCAGCAACATTCTGTA